TCACCTTAAGTCCTCAAAATAACCTCCTTGCTTTTCAATACTCTAAAGAGGTTTTGTGCAGCAGATTTCTGTAGTTAACTGATTTGGCCCAGGGGGCCACAGTTCGCAGTATGAGGCAGCCAGTTGAACTTGAGAGCAGGGCTTCTCAGGCACAGGGCAATACTGGCCCCCAAGTGCTGAACTGAAGGCCTGCACAGAGCCTTCCCCAGTCTGACTACTCAGTTTCCTCTTCCTCCTGCCCCGGGATGTGCTCCCTGCAAAACTCCCACTCAGGACACGGGGTGTCCCTCTCCATGCCTGAAGTAGCCCTACAGGAAGTTGTTGTGGAGAACCAGGCAAGCTGTAGCCAGCCATAAAGACTACTGGGCAAGCGCCAATTCAAGGCCGAGCCAGGTGTGTGGTACACCTGGGTGGCCCAAACTAGGCCCAGGTGGGGCTTAACCCCAAGCCAATGGGGTTCACCGATACCTTTGACCACGCCTCCCAGCAAAAGGCCTCAACTACCTAGACCGCGAGACACCGTGCTCTCTTCTTTCTCACCCTTCTGCTCGGCATTACGGCCGTCTCTCTGGCCTCAGGCTACCACGTGTGGGTATGCAGTCCCACAAGGTTGCCCGTGTTCAGTGACTGTAAAACCCGAAACTTCTTCCGTCCTTTATAAAAACTCACTTGGATTACAAACCAGGCTTCAGCGTGAATTCTTTCTCTTGCGAAGTCAAGAACCGAGGTATTTCCCACCTGAGAAACCTAATATAACTAAGTGGCCTACTAACTGCTCCTCTAACAAATCGTACCTGCTTTTGCTTACCCACCCCATTCCTTCTGCCTACAGTAAAATGACCAAGGGGCAAAACCTGGGAAGTTGCGAGAGTACCTGAGGAGCAGGCAGTACGCACATGGTGACCTCAGTGTGTCTTTTTAAGTACACAGCAAAAGATTTGAAAACAGGCTAACCCAAGGTGAACGATGGTGGTCTCTGGGTCAACCTTTGTTTTGCTGACCCTTTGTATTTTACGTTCTTCTCCACTTTTCTAACGGGACTTTCCTTCTCAGAAAAGGCACACAAGTAAGCCAGGCCACTCCCAGGGGCAGCTGGCAGTTAGTTCAGACTATCCTACAGTGTCCGAGTGAGGAGCACTGGTCAGGCTGGCCAGGTGAGCTCGGCGATATCATGGCCCCTGCGCCACCAGCAGTGAGTCAAAGAGGAATCTGCTGGGGCTGCAGTATCTCTACTTGAGCTTCCGCTTCTGACAGAACCTTCTAGCTTACTGCTTTCTGACGGGATCTGAAATCCCTTCCTTCACAAGAGCCCTCTCTGGACGCTGACCTGCCAATGCTGGTTCTGACAAATTTGGTGCCAGTCCCAACCTTCCTGAAGCAGGGAGTGGCAAAGGGCAAGAGTGACAGGCCTCTGTGGTGTGAATGCTGGAGTTCGGCCAAGATAATCTGCCCTTTGCTTGCTCCCAAGCCGAGCTCTTCATTTGAGCCTGCTTCCTTATCTGTAAGTGGGGACGAAGAGGCACCTATCTCTGCTGCCTGTAAAAGCTATGCCGAAGGTCCAGCCAGTCGAGAGAAATTATGTGCAGTGTTTAAGACAGTGCTGGCCCCTTGAAAGCACTCCAATAAAGGCTATTGCTGCTTACTGACTCATCTCCCAAGTAAGCGAAGCGTCACCATTCTTTTAACTGTTGGACACCTGGCCTGATTCTAAGGCTCCAAGATCCTCAAGGGCAGGGACTGTGCGTGTGTGTTACACATTTTTGCTTCCAGTCCCACACCTACAACACTGACTTCTTTCTAAGTGATTTGCAAGTACCATTTCCACCTCCCACATCACTGCTGTCCATACCCTCCTGTATCCACCGAGCCGCACATAACTTTGGAGCCTCAAGTGCGGCATGCCAGGGCTGCTTCTGGACCTCCTCCCCAGGTCTCCCCTCCTACTAACCTATCATCTTCTGGAGCAGGGACAAGTTGCCCTTCCCAAAGAGCACGCAGAGGTCCAGGATCTTTGGGATGTCGAACAGGAAGTTGTTGTAGAGGATTTCTCCAAATGCAGAGGGGGAAAGGAAGTGATCCTAAGGCAAGACGCAGAGGAAAAGGATGAGAGCCTTTCAAAGAGCACATCCCTCACAAGCACTTGAGAAATCCGCTCTGGCCATCGGCTGAGGCTGGGCTGATAAACGATGGCCCACCACACCACCACCCCTCACAGCATTCCCTCTTCATCTTCATATCTGAGGGAAAAAAATCAAAACACAAACTATACAATCATTGGTCGGGACTCACTCAGAAGTATTTGTGGATAAATTAGCATGATGTCTGGATTGCTTTAAAGCACTTGGGGGTGAAAAAAAAAAAAGCACTTGGGGGTGGGTAGGGAGGAAAACAAGCAAGGTGTGTTTGGAATATAAAATAATGATTCACAGAATCATGGAATTATTCAAGTTCAGTCATGGGCATATGGGGGCTCATTGGTTCCTTATAGTTCTGTGTATGCTTATTAAATATTTTCATATTAAAGCAATGTTTCATAACAATAAGTACCAACACAGGGAATCCAGGATAGATAAACCCCTCAGGGCCAACAATGAGAATAGAGATACCAGGAGGGGAAGGGAAAGATGAGGGGAGGAAGGGGGAACCAATCACCAGGATCAACATATAATCCCCTCACAGGGGGACAGACAACAGAAAAGTGGGTGAAGGGTGACAGAGGATGATGTATGATATGAAAATAATCTATAACTTATTAAGGGCTCATGAGGAAGGGAGGGGGGAGGGAAGGGGAAAATGAGGAGCTGATACCAAGGGCTCAAGTAGAAAGAAAATGCTTTGAAAATGATGATGGCAACATATGAACAAATGTGCTTGACACACTGGAGATGAATGAATGGATTGTGGTAAGAGTTGTACAAGCCCACAATAAAAGGATTTAATGAAAGGAAAAAAAAAACCCAACAAGAACAAGCACCTAAATAAAAGCAAACCACAAACTGCCACAGAGGAGTTTCAGTACTTTCTACTCCATTTTACTGTGATGTTTAAATTGCTCTAAAAAATATTTATTCAAAGAGGTTATTGAAAAAAAAAAAAAGCCAGGTTTTTGTGTGTAGTGAGAGGGCGAAGAAGAATCGGGCCTGGGAGGGTGTGGCACGGGTGGAGAACTGCCTCCATGAACAACCAGCCCTTGCCCCCAGACGAACCGCGTGCTACCCGGCTACCATTTCCAAACATTCTGATCACAAGCTTCATGGAAGAATCCTGATCAAAGGGGGAAAAATAGAGAAGGAAATTTCAAATTCTCACAGACCCCAGACTTTCTAGAGCCAAGGGGACTGCCTGGATGAAGCCCTGAAAATTTTTAAAAACCAAACAATTTTTTTTTGTATTTGAAAAATCCTTTTAGTATAAATCCATGGTTCTGCATATATTATTTTTTTAAATCATTTTATTGGGGGGCTCTTAAAATCTTATAACAACCCATCATTCAATGGTATTAAGCACACTTGTACATATGTTGCCATCAACATTTCTAAAACAATTTCTTTCTACTTCAGCCCTTAGAATCAGCGTTTTTATCCCCTCCCCTAACTCCCACCCCTGTGAAACCTTGATCAATTATATATTATTATTGTTCCTTGGCGTCTTACACTATCCAGTTTCCCTTCACCCACCTTTCTGTTATTCATCTTTAATTAGTTTTTTAATGCCTGCTTTGCACATTATGCTCTTTTAAGACTCTTTTAAGAACCATCCACAGGTGCGGTATAGCACTAATGAAGCACATAAATATCCTCTAGTTCTTTAATATTTCCTCCCCTTACTATTATGGTTTTTACTTGTTTTATCTCATTAATCCGTTAGACATGAGTATATTAATTTGTATAATTGAGGTCTTTCCACACCTAAAAGCCAAGATAGATAACCCTTCAGAAACAGTACCAGGAGTAGTGGTTCCCTGAGGGAAGGGGAGGAGCAGCTGATGACTGTATAACCCCACTCGAGGGCGAGAACAACAGAATTTTACGTAAATGGATATATTGGATGGTGGAAGATGCAGCAAAAAAAAAAAAAAAAGGGTTCCGTGGGGAAGGGAGGGGAAGGAGGGGATAAAGGGGAGCTGATATCATGGAGTTCAAAAAATTGTAAAATGCCGCTTGATGTGATTGAACTATGGAATATTATGGCATCTGTAAGAGCTCCCAATAAAATAAAAATAATTGAACAAAAGAACCATCTATATAGGATCAAAAAGAAGCCCTGGTGGCCTCATGGGTGAGACGTTGGACTACTAACCACAACATTCAAACGCCAGCTGCTCCTAGGGAGAAAACGGAGGCTTTCTGCCCCCCTACCTACTGACAGCCTCAGATACGAGGAGGGGCAGTTCCACTCTGTCTTATGGGATTGGAATCAATCCGATGGCGCTGACTGGGTATGATGGCTCATCATGACAGCGCCAACTGGAAAGGTCAGAGAGGAACCTCAGGGGCACACCGGTTTATGTTAACTCAGAACAGGAGCCTGAGAAAGCCAGCACAGCTCTGACCGTGTGACCGGTGTCCCTGAAGGGACGTGTAGAAATACATGGTCGACTTGGTACATGACCTGGTCCGTGTTTTGTGTATTTTGCTGTTGTGTATTCTCTACAGCCAAAGACAGTCAATCGCGGACTCTGCATGAGACGGGCTCTTGTGTCTTAAGTGGAATGTGTGGGTGAGGTGGGAGAGGTACCTCTGTACTTACTCGGCCAGCTTTTTAGTGCACAGGACCAGCCCTGGTCGTACAGTGGGTGAAGCACTGTTTGACCCGAGCAGCCTCTCCGCCTGAAACAGCTGGGACCGCCTCTGGGAAGCCTACTGCGACAGGTCTACAAGTTCTAGAAGTTGAGTTTCACTCCACAGCAGCGGGTTTGGGTTCTGGTTTTTGTTGCGAGAGAAGGCGCAAGGCCTTTTCATCGATTTAAAAAACCGCACGTGCAACAAGTGGAAGGTGTCTATGATTTTGTCGCCAGTCGCAGTTGGGATTGATCCAATCGTCTCAAAGTGAGACTGCCTGTACTTTCTTTTTTTTTAATCCTGCTTTTGAAAGCACTACCCACACATAGACACATAATCAAATTGGGGGGTGGGGGTTAAGAAATAATCCTTGAAGGAACATGTCCCTCCCCGTGGTTATTTTACAGTGGGGAGGGGATTTTGTGGCTGGAGCCTCACTGTCGATAGAACATCTTTCTGCAAAATTGGAACCGCTCAGAGACAACACTGTTTTGTTTTTCAAAATGAAGAAGACAGTTGATCTTTGAAAAGCGCATACAGGTTCCTTTAAACGCTCAGCATCAATGTTTCCACTCTGACGCACGAGCAGAGGCGCAGTCAGGCGTCAGCTGGCAAAGAGCCCTGGGCTCCCACTGAAGAAAACAGTGGGCAGCTCGCAGGGGCCAGGGGGGTGCGAGGACAAGGGCAGCGGCACAGATTCTGTCCCCGCGTGGGAATAAAGGCTGCTTGGAGACAGCGGAAACCCGATGCTTCCCTAGCCTCCATCCCAGGGGTGGCAAATCTGTCACAGAGGTGCCGGGTGTCAGGTGGCGACCTGTCACGGGACCAGGGCTTACTCTGGACTCCTTGTGAGTGGACATGCGGAGGAAGGTGAGAAAAACACTTCGATGGAGGCGCTTCTGCATGTCAACCACCTCTGGAGCTGGGGCCACCCCCTCGTCGAATTTCCGGGGGACATAACGTAGGTAGGAGTCCAGGCACTTCTCCAGGGTCTCGTCAAAAATGACCTATGGCAGGAGACAGGTGAGTGAGCATTTCTCTCGCAGAGGCAGGAGGGTTTGCAAGTGGGCTGGACCGGGGCACATCAGCCCTGGTCCACTGCAAACACACCAACCCCCAGGGACTGGGAAGCTATGAATGAGCCGAGGGCTAAACCTAAGGTTCTAAAAATGATGCTTGGGAAGGTGCTGTATAGACACCATTAAGGTTGTGACACGAGACAGAGCAATCCAAAGCACAATTTGCTGTAAAGAATACAGTGTAAGTAGACATAAAGGCCCAACAATAGCAACCAACCAATGGCAAGTCATGCAAAGCCTTGTCTCAGTATTCATTTTGAGAGAATGTTACCTGGCACCAGAATTTATCGTGAGGCAAGGCCAGGAGCCAGTCGAGGTCAGCGGCTACGAAGGCAGCACGTTCCAGGTACTCCTCCACCAGGGCGGGGATGTTGTCTTTAGGGGGCGGTTTGTAGGACACAAAATAGCGGTCCGCCTTCCGTGAGGAGTGCTGCGGACCCAAAAACCACGAGTCAACGTGGCCGACGTTAGTCAGCGAGGGCCTCTTTGCCAACCCACAGCAATGACAACACTTGGCTGTTCCAACTGGTGATCCTCCAGGGAGCTTTGAAACACAAAGAACCAAGTGTATCTAACCAAAGAGGCAGCCAGGCTGCATCCAGGGACCACCAGGTGGTGACCAGAAGGCATGGTTTTGAAAAATATTTCATGAGGCAGAGAAAGGCTAAAGGAAGAAAAGGTTGGTGCAGAATGCCCTATTTAATACGAGATTTGTTGGATTGTTTGTTCTAAGTATATGTATTTAACACATTCCTACAATGGTGGTGATTTTAAAACCGTCTGGGTGGGTGGGGGTGGGAAACGACACTGCCCGAGAAACAACAGTGGCTATCCCTGGGAGGTGGGATCACAGCTTGAATATACCCTCCCGTTTTTCAAAGCTGAACATGTATTACTTTTAAAATTCATTTTCAATGATACCAGAAAGCATCTTTTCTTTCACAAACTCAGAACGATGAAGGTGAGTCCCTGGACCCACAGCCTCCTGGAGGGCACCACTCATCAGCCAGTGGGTGCTCACAGGCCTCAGGTTAGTTATATGAAAATACACGTACAGAAAACATTTGCTGGGCCTGCGCTTTTTCCTTCTTATACAGATGGTCCCATGCCTTACGTATGCTGGCATATATGCCAAGCCCTTTTTCAAAGCAGAAAAGCAGCTTTGACAATTTTCTTAACAGATTCTAATCTGGTCTCTGAAGGCCTCTTCAGCGTAGGACCACAAGTTCTCTTCCAGCCCCTACCTGGCCATGAACAAACCCTAGTTGGCTCACCGGGTGGAGGAGCCCCTGGGCTCAGGGCTGCTTTCTCTGGGGGAAGCGGGCAGAGGACAACGGCCAGGTGACGTCTCAGGTGTCATCACCATCCACCCACTTCCAGGTCTGTCCACTTAAGGGGCACAGGAAAGCCACCTCTCGCCTTCTCAAGAACCACTTATGCCTCTACTGACCACTGCAAGCTTTTTCAAACCAAAGCAGGTTTTTCACAGTGGGGATGCCAGGCACAAATCTTTTCGAATAAAGACCTGCACTGTGCAAATAGTGGAAAACCACGGTCTAGGGCCTACACTCCTCTCCGTAGCGTTCAAGTGCTCGGCCGGCCCAATCTGTGTACACTTCACCTCTCGGCCAGCTTCTCCTCACCCTCTGCGCCCCAACACAGATGCTTGCTTCCCTGCAACGCTGCTAGCACTGCCTGCTGGGGGCCCTGCTGTGCCTCGTGCCTGGGCACAAAGAAAACCTCCAGATGTTGACAGAGCCCTCTCTCCAGCAGCAAGATGCCGCCAGAACTGCCAAGTCAGCACAGACAGAGGTCCTGATCATGCAAAGCCTGGCAGAGGGCCACAGGGTGCACACAGGATTTCACTAGAGGCCAGAGACAACTGCCCTGCGCGGGCAGCACCTCGGCTGGGCCTTGGAGGATGGAGATTTTCAAATGAGAAGCAGTGACATTTTTGCCCCCAGGTCTCTTTTATTTTTTATTTATATATATATATATTTTCAAATACTGAAAGTGGAAGGCAGTGACATTTTTTATGGAAGGGCATCAACTGAGCTTGGCCAGATAACGACGGCACAGCCTGCACTGGGCAGGGGAGATGGATTTGGAGGGAGAAAATACTGGAGTGGTGAGAACAAAAGCCACCAGCTATCCAGGACCTGCCCTGTGCCAGCAGCCAAGTTCATTGTTTGTTTATTTTGTTTTTTAATGTAGAACTCTGTAGGAGGGAGATTGCTTTCCCCCATTTTACTGAGGAAATGAAAACTCAGTGAGGTTCAGATCACAGGGAAGCACCCAGGCAGGATCTGAACCAAAGCTTGCCTGGCAGACCTACTAAATGACCTACGTGCCACCCTGGCCTCACTGTCCTTCAGAGCCCAGTTCTGATCTCACCTCCTCCAGGAAGCTGCCCTGACTCCCACTCCACACTGGTTTTGGGGTTCACTCTGTGCTGACCCAACTGGGGCACTCAAAGAACCCTCATAAAAGGGATGGCTTTCAGATCAGTTATTGGTAGGGGCAGGGAGAGAGGGGAGGATGGATTATACACAGACAGAAAGGCATATTTAGGGTGTGTGTGTGTGTAAATAGATGTTCTCTTGATTATGGCAGTGGTTTCATGGGTGTCAGAGCCTAGCAAATTGTGTATTTTGATTGTCCAGGCCTATTTTCCTTCCATTAGACCTCAATCGTCTTATTAGAAAAGGGGACCTGCCTTCTCAGCTCTAGGCCCCACGAGCTGTGCTTCTCCAGAGGCAGTCTGAGCTTTGCTCAGCAGCATTCCCAAGGCCTCCCCGCAGCAGACGCTCCATACGTGTGTGTGTGTGTGTGTGTGTGTGTGTGGGCTACACAGAGGGAGGAAGCAGGGTCCAGCAGCGTCTTTGCTTCGACTCAAGTCCCATGCCACCCTTCAGGCCTGGGTAAGATCCTGCCTGCTCCAGGAGCCTTTCTGAACACTCTCTGCCCATCGGATTTCTCTTCTATTTGTTTTTCACTATTCTCCAAATGCCCCACTGTTGGGAGTCTGGTCTTCTTTGAGAACTCACTCTTCACAACGCTGCTGTGCGCACAGTCGCTACTCAGTAAAGTGCCTACTAAACACTAGTGTGGTGGCAGTTGCCCGCCTGGAGATCTCCTTACCCAGGACCCAGACTGAAGGGATAAATGGAGAGCTGATGCCCACCTAAGGACATGGCCTGCAAGCACCACACTTGGGAGTGGTCAAGAAGACCCCTCCTCAATTGGGCAGCTGTCTCCCTCAGCTGGTCCCTCTTCCTACCCCCGTCCATACTTCTGTCTTTCCCTACCTCTCAGTCAATACTTCTGTCGCTGTCACTGCTGTCATCACCATCATGACTGCTCTAGGCACAGTCCCGATTCACTGATGTCTCATTAAGCCTGGTCAACGCTCCAGCCCCTTTGTGGATCCTGGGCCTTAGTGAGGTTAAGGACCTAGTTTAAAGTCACACAGCCAAACATGCATGAGATTTAACAGAAAGTCCGTGCTCTTTAACTGTTACCCTGCTCCCACCCCAAGTGACTCGTGGTTCTCATCCTCCCCAATTTGTTTAATCCTGTGGCCTTGAACAAAATCTCTCCACTCCTTGGTTTCCTCGTCTGCAAAATCAAAACCCCTCCTTACAGGGTTGTGGTGCAGCTTAAATGAGATAATCCCGGGTGAAGTGTTTAGAACAGCTTGGCACACAGCGAGTGCTCTATAAATGGGAGGTCCTATTATTAGCCAGTATTTAGGAGGTAATAAGAAGCCATCAGAAGGCAGGAAATAAAACACCAAGCTCCAGTTTCCCACGACTTTACTCAAGTCCCCAGCAAATATATTTCCTCCCACCTTGTCCCAGTAAGCTCAGATCCTTGGGAAAACAACAAGCAAATATGGGGACTCCATGTCTGTCTCCTTCTTCAGCAGCCTGGCACCTCTCCACAGCTCTAATCTCTCCACCACTGGTAATCAGCATGTTCACAGCCTCCTTATTTTTCAACCTCACAAGCCCTCCCGGGTCTCTGTATGTGGGCTTCTTATCCCATTGAGATAAAAGACAACCCTGTGCTCCACAATCAGTGTTCCCACCAAAGGGTAGATGGCAGCTTAAAGGTTCTGAAACCTGAGCCCTTCTCCCAGGGTCAAATCCCCATCTTGCTGTGGGCCAGATCCATTTCCAGGCCAGCTCAGCCTGAACCAGACCTGCCGTCAGCCTCTGAGTCAAAGGGAAATGCTTTGAGGGGAAGGTGTGGGCAGGGGACATGGGAAACACTACTCAATTCCAGCGACTTGTCACAATGAAACTGCCACACTGGGCATGCAAGGACCTATGGTGGCCCAGCTACTGAATGACCAGCCCTGGCCCCGGGGTCATTTTCAGAACACATGCGGAAGGAATTTATTTGGGGTTTCTGAGAGATTGCAAGCAGGATAGCATCAGGCTGAAAAGCCTCAAGGCACCGCTCACCAGGGCTGGTGAAGTCGTCAGCTTTCCTGTCTTCGGGTCCTTGAGGGTGATTTGCAGTTGGTCCAGGGGCAGAGCTGGCATTGTGCTGCGTGACCCTCCTGAAAGGAATATGGATGGGAAGAAGAGAGCAGACACCTGGGCTCTCGAGGGCAGGGACCTGCTTGGAGCTGCTCCCTCAGCCCAGAGAGAAATATCCACCTGACTGCGCACTTGGGCCTCCAGTATGCACCTAGCGATTCAGACTGAAATCATCTTTTCTGCCTGAAACAATACACGCCCGGGAGACTTCTGATATACTCTCTTCCCTGGAGATGTGCCACAACTAGCACCCAAACCCACTGCCTCTGAGCTGACTTTGACGCATAGCAATCCTATAGCACAGGGCAGAACTGCTCCATAGTTTCCCGGCTATAAATCTTTATGGAAGCAGACTACCACATCTTTCTGCCGTAGAGGCATTGGTGGGTTTGAACCGCTGACAGGGTCAACGGCAGCAGAAGCAGGAATCATGTTAACAAAGGAAACAGCAGCAGCAGCAGCAATAGCATTCTGAGCTAGGTGCACCAAGTGCTTTCCTCACCCGAATGTACTTCCGACACCCACTGGACACCCAATAATGAACAACGCTGAGGTTGGGCCTATTTTCACCCCAATTTCCCTAGTGGAAACCAGCAGCTCAGAGAGGATAAGAGACTCACCACGGTCTCATGGAGAGTAGTGGCGATATAGGCTGGCTCTAAACCATTCTGTAGGCGGCCTCTAGTTCAGTCTAGCTTATGGGTGATAGCTGCAGATTTCTAGAAATGAGCCTGAGTTGAGGCTTGACAAAGGGGAGTGGCTAGAGAATAAATGGAGAGGGAAGGTGCCCCAAGCCAAGGAAACCTGAAGACCAAGACAAGGAGGACGAAAGGAGCTTGGTACACATGGAACCGTGGACCATGAAGAGCCCCTATTCTACCAGGATGTAAGCAGCAGCTTACTCTGGTTCATCTTGAAGGCCTAGTCCAGCTTTGGGATCCCACTGGCTCAGATGCCCAGTCCCTGCCCTCAGGAAGAAGCAGGAGGTAAGATTCACAAGGTACAGACCCGGCCCACGGAGCGTGTGCAGAAAGGAGACACAACCTCAGATCACCTGGGATCCATTAGGCATACTCGGATATCACCAGACCTCCTCGAAAGACACTGGAAATCAAGGAGCCCTATCGGCCATATCCTGTCAAGACGCATCACCCGCCCTATGCATATTCATGACCATTTCTAGGCACTTGCTTACTTAATTATAATCCCCTCAATGTACTTCTTGGCGTACATGCATCAAACTGTAAACCACCCTTTTTTTTTTCAGGGCTTGCTTTGGAGACTCTAGTTCTAGCTTGCTCCTTGCTTGATTAACCACAGTAAAACTTTCCTCTTTCACCGTTAACAAAAGAAAAAAGAATCACAAGGCGGGGCAGTGACAGATGGCTAGGTTGAGTGTCATTTTTCAACTTTGCAGAGTATAGGTGATGCCCTCTGCTCAGCATACCTAGCTTCTAATCACATCACTGGCTAATTAGCCTCTCACAATCACCTTGTGAAGAGCAAGAATTATTATGCTCAGATGTTCAAAGTGGGGCCCTGATTTGTTCAAGGCCAATACATTAGTGGCCAAGTAGAAACTAAAGTTCAGCTCTTATGCCTCGGCACCTGGAGTTCCTGCGCTGACAAACTCCCAGTAGGTCTTCTTCATGCCCAGACACACTGGACAACTCAGAGGTCAGAAACCACTGCAGAGCCGTCTAAATGCTTCACAGGCCAGCTCTTTCCAGGCTCACTTGTGAGGGGGAAATCCGTTCCTTTAAGTCAGTGGTTCTCAACCGTCCTAATGCCGCAACCCTTTAATACAGTTCCTCATATTGTGGTGACCCCCAACCATAAAATTATTTTGGGGGGGAGGAGAGGGAGGGGAAAATATGAGGAGCTGATACCAAGGGCTCAAGCAGAAAGCAAATGTTTTCGGAATGATGATGGCAACAAATGTACCAATGTGCTTGACACAATGGATGGATTATGATGAGTTGTACGAGCCCCCAATAAAATGATTTTAAAAATTATTTTCGTTGCTACTTCATAACTGTAATTCTGCTACTGTTATGAATCAGGTGACCCCTGTCAAAGGGTCATTCGACCCCCAAAGGGGTCACGACCCACAGATTGAGAACCACTGCTTTAAGTGGAACTTTACCTGGGTTCTTTGGGAAAACAATTTGAGAGATTTACCCCTAAGCCCCAGGAAGTTACTTTCAGTCTAATTTTCTACTCCAGAGAATTTGTTACTTTGGTCTGGGTCGACTGACATTTCCAGAGTAAAACAACTAAAACAAGGATGGTTTGATACATTCTGCCAAGATGCCTTGGATTGCAGGCGGCCCTTGACTGAAATGCACTTTGCAGGGATTGGTCAGTAGACTAAGAGATGATGTGAGTTATTGCCTCTAATGCAAATGAAGTGTCTGCAGTCTGCCGTTAGTGGCCCTCTCGATGGGAGGGGAGGTGCCAAGGAGTGACCAAGAATTACATATATAAGCTGCCAGACCCAGAGGTTTGAGAGATCAGCAGCAGCAGCAGAAGGGAAATAGAAAAGGAAGATGAGAAAGGTGGTAAGGAGCCTCTTAAAAGAGCTGTGACACTGGTCAAAGCACTGTAACACCGAAGACGGTGACAGTCCCAGAAGAGACCCAGCAGTGTAGCAGGTGAGAACAACTCTATAAAGGGTCCAATGGCAGAGCTGGCAGTGACAGATGACAGAGCCAAGAAGAGTCTGTCCTGAGGGGGCCGAGAGGAGGCCTGTCTTGAGGGGGCTGAGTGCTAAACTCACCATTGTGGCCTACACCCGAAGGCAGTGAGCAGTCTCTCATGCAGGAGCACAACCAGAGACACCCTGGTGACAAGATATTAACTGAGAAGAGCCTAGCACAGCAGAGAGGAACTGAGAGAGCTGCCCTGCACTCAAGAAAGAAGACAACCTGTATGCTTCCTGACCCCGATCCTGAGCTGTGCCCTGTTCCTTAATAAACGACTTAACTCTAAGTTCAATCTGTGGGTTCTGTGGATTATTGGACCCAGCAGAGAAGTACAGTGCTGTGGGAAGGACAGTGTTAGAATGAGTGAAAAGGTTGCAGTGAAAATCAGGCTGCCTCCTCTTCATGGGAAACAGCCTCGGATTGACCCCGGCCATTAACCCCTCTGAAGCATCTGGTACTATCACCACTATCATTTTATACCTACCAAAGAATGGCACTGGGGGTGTCTAAGGTAGGGAAACTCAGAAGGTAGAGACAGCTCGCCACACTTTAAACACAGCTCAAGTCCAGGTCCAGATACATAGTGGCAGCACCTGTCTTCAGAAGAATGCCAGTGCCTGCAAGGGTAGATACGGGAAAAACTGGTGTGGTGGCTGAAAAGGCAGACTCTACAGGCCTGCAAAACCAAAAAAATCCCAAACTCATTGCCACTGAGTCAATTCCAACTCACAGTGACCCTATAAAGACCGGATAGAACTGCCCTGGGGGTTTCTGACACTGTGACTGCCCTGTCTTTCTCCTGAGGAGCAGCTGGTGTTTTCAAAGGGCTGACCTTATAATTGGCAGCCCAATTCATAACCACTGCACCACCAAGGCTCTGGCACAGTCCTGCAGCCTCGGTTCAAATTCTGGCTTTACTTGTGGCCACCATGTTGTGAGCGTAATAGGCTCTTAACCTCCCTAAGGCTTGGTTTCTTCATCTGTAAAATGGGGGTGGTAACAGTGCATAGCTTTGAGGGGTGCTATCAGAGGTAATCAATGCTAAGTGTTTAATACAATACCTTGACACCTAAGAATAACGCCACGAAGGTTAGTCATTGTTACTATTCAGGTTATAATTGACAGCGAGCACCTTGGCTTCCTCGGTTAGTCAACAAGTATTAACGGAGTACATTCTAGGCCCTGAGCATTTGGTATGGCCAAGCAATGTAGTAAAGTAATCTTCAACACTGGTGCACACAGAGATAGAAAGTTGTATATGGGAGGCCAGCCCAGAGAAGGCAATGTATAAGCTGGGCGTTGAAGGATCAGAAGGAAAAGTGAAGAAGAAGGGTGTTCCATGGAAAAGGAAGCATAAGCCAAGGCTCATTGTTTTTGAAGTGTTTGGTTTTCATGGAAGAGGGAGACAAGAACAGGCAGGGGATGTGAGGAGAGACAAGGCTGGATAGGGAAGATGCGGCCATTTAAAAAGAGCCTCCAGTGTTTCACTAGCAACTGTAGCCATTTATCTGAAGGCAGTGAGAACACAACGGAGAACTGGTGGCAGAAGAAACTCCTTTATGCACAATCCAAGCTCAGAAACGATGTTCATCCTTTCTTTCATACATTCAACGATTTGTTGAGCACCTATTATGCACCATAATATGTACCACTGGAGTCCTAGTAGTGTAGTAGTTACTCGTTGGGCTGCTGACTGCAAGGTGAGCAGTTCGAAAACACCAGCAGGAGAAAGACTGTTTTTTCTACTCCTGCAAAGTGACCGTCTTGGAAATTCAGAGGGGCAGTTAGTTCTACACTGTCTTACTGGATCGATGTGAGTCAACATCGAATTGATGGCAGAGCGTAAGTTTGTTTGGATTATGTACTAGGCACTCAAAACTAAGATGGTCAAATAACAGACCTGGTCCTGCCCTCCTGCGGGCTGACAGTCCTGATGGCAAAGATAGATGTTAACCAAATCGTCACACAGACAACAAAAAATGATAAGCTATGTCGTGGAAGTGAGGCCCATGTAGTGAAGGCAGCATTTACCAGAGGGCCCTGACCTGGGAGGTCCCAGAAGATTGGAGTTTTCATTTAAAGTATGTGTAGGGATTAATTAAGCTAAGTCCAGAGTATGTTCTAAAAGGCCACAATGATCAAGACTATGGCTGTGCCCCCAATGTATTCCAATGCCGGGCGGGGCAGTAAAAGCCAAGTTAGGAAAGGGCTTTCTTTCCGAGGGGCGCTCAGTCTAACCATCAATTAAAGGATGGAAACCGAGGACTCCCAAGGCTACCGCTACCGCTGCCTCCGTTTCCGTCAGTCTAGTCTCAGTTCATTATAACCCTCCTCCGAGGCCTTCCCAGATGCCCTCCCTCAAATGTTCACGCCCTCAGTCACTGTCACGTCTTGAATTACTTTGTGTGTTTACTTTTCGCCTCTAGACTGGAAGCCCCTTGTCTGTCTTGCTCTCTTGCGTCCCCCGTGCCCGGCACACAGACGGGGCGGGACAAACACTTGTTGAACAAAAGAAGGAACCTTGAGGAAATTGAAGGCTGGGATAGGGGAGGAGGAAACGGACTCATCCAAAGTCACTGTGGGGTCAAGCTTCGAAGCCGGGGTTCACGACTCCAGCGATCTTGCCTTGGGGGGATTCCTAAAGCCCGTTAAGCCTCGGGGTGGGGGACTCGAGACTGCTCAAAGAACGACCAAGGCTCCTCCCCGGCCCCGAGCTCCGCCACCGGTAGCACCTTGCCGCACACTCACCTCGGCGGCTAGACCACAGGCGACGTGCCGCCGCTGCCGCCGCCGCCGCTACCGGTGACAGCTCCCTAAGCACCTGCACTTCCGGGGTCAAATGGCGATTCCGCCGGCGCAGACCGGAAGCCTCGGTCCAGCCCCGCCCCTGGAGCCGACCGCCGCAGCCTCACGCCTCCGGGCAGCGAGACCGGGCCCCGGGCCACGCCCCCACAAGAGCCGCCGGCGTGTGGCCACGCCCCCACAAGAGCTTCCGGCTGTGGCCACGCCCACCCGGGCTCACCCTTCTTTATGTCTCTGCCGTCAGAACAAGGCTGCGTTTCCACGTACAGGACGATCTACAACAAGCCAAACGAAGGAATTGTGAGAGGAGTTAGGACGGTGGTAACCTGAGACAAAGGTGACTGAAGGAGGCCACAAGTAAGGCTGGGAACGTTCTGCGTGGTGGCGACACGGATGGATTCACTTTTGGAAAATGCATCAAATCGAGCCCCTATAATGTGTGCGTTTTTTTGTAGGTATGTCATGCTAATGGAACCCTGGCGGCGTAGTGGTTGCCCACTGGGCTGCTGACCGCCACCAAAGTCAACAGTTCGAAGCACCACTTGCTCTGTGGGAGAAAGACAAGGCTTTCTACTCCCTAATGAGGTAGTCTTGGAAGCCCACAGGGGCAGTTCTACCCTATCTATAGAGTCACTATGAGTCGGAACCGACTCGATGGCAGTGTGTTTAGTCGGTGTAATACCATACTTATAAAATAGATTTTTTTAAAAATCATTTTATTGGGAATTCTTACAGCTCATCACAATCCATACATCAATTTCATCAAGCATATCTGTACATATGTTGCCATCATCATTTCCAAAACATTTTCTACTTGAACCCTTGGTATAAGCTCCTCTTTTTTCCCCTCCCACCTTGGAGAATCCTTGATCCATTATATATTGTTATTATTTCGTATCTTATCCTGTCCGTTGACTCCCTTCACCCACATTTCTGTTATTCGTTCCCTGGGGGGGGGGCTGTATAGCCAATCTTGTGATGGGTTCCCCCTTTCTCACCCTTCCCCCTCACTGACCATCCTCCTACGCTCATGATATCGCTAGTCCCACTACTGTTCCTGAGGGGTAGCGATGATTTTGATAGTTTTGTTTTTTAATAGAAGGGTTGCATACAGCTTAGACTAGGATCCAGTTTCCTGTGGCATACATGGCATGGTGTAGGCTGAGTAGTTCCCAACCCTGAACAGTGGCACAGAATCATTGCAGAAAACTGGTTAACGTGTCCCTCATCTCAGTATCACGGCATCTATAGTAAGGGTTCAAAAATACTGACTATAATCATGAGGGTGTTATGGAAACCCCTAATAGATCACACGATCCAGCTCTGGGGGAGGGACATCAAATATTACTGGGTATCTGCCAGTGCCGGACCTTGCTATGAGCACTGGGCCTGTGAGGAGAAACACAAGTCCTCAAGGCGTTTAGAGGTGAGGAGGCTGCGAGAAGGTCAACAGTTATGGTGCAAGTTGAGCCAGAACCAACTTGAAGGCAGTGACTGGCGTAAAAGAGACCAGGGGGTGTAGTGGGGTGTGCACTGGGCTGGTTGTTCAAAACCACCAGCCTCTCAGAGGGAGAAAGATGAGGCTTTCTTATTCCCATATTACAGTCTTGGAAACCCACAGGGATGGTTTTACAAGTGAAGTCTGGGTGGTGTCATGCTTACAGATGGGGCTGTTAACTGCAAGGTCAGGAGTTTGAAACCACTAACTGTTCCAAGAAAGAAAGGTGGTTTTTCTTTACTCCCGTGAAGAGTTCTAGTCTCAGAGACCCTGTCCGGTAGGATCACTGGGAGTTGGTATTGGCAGTGGGTTTGGTTAGGGTTTTTCTTTGAGCCTGAGTTTGTCTGTGTTTTGAGGTCAGCTCAAAACATCACACATTTCTCACCTCACAGTTTATCATTTGACTGGGCCCCTTCAGGCTGCAGCTAAGGTGTCGGCCAGGACTGGGGTGTCATAACTCAGAGGAAAGATCCACTTCCAAGCTCAGTGGTTGTTGGCAGAATTCAGCACCTTAAGGGTTGTTGGACTGAGGGTCTCGGTACCTTGCTGGATTTTGGCAACGGGCTGGTCACATGGACTTCTTCAACATGGCATCCTGCTTCATCAAAGTGGGCAAGCTTGAGAGGAAGTACAGAGAGCCGAATGAAGGTTGAACATGAAAGTGGAACAGGAGAAAAGTAAAAGGAAAGAGAGTAAAGAACTAGAAGGCAAAATAAATTTATAGAGGTATAAACATACGCATGTACATATGTAAATATATTCATATGTAAGGATAGGGATATAGATCTATGTACTTATATTTATAGGCTAAGTATTAAGGTAGCAGATGAATATTGGGCCTCTACTCAAGTCCTCCCTCAACACAAGAACACTTTGTTCTAATAACTTGGCATTCTGTGATGCTCACTCTCCGGACATGATTGCTGAAGACAAAATGGGTACATAAGCAAATGTGGTGAAGAGAGCTGATGATGCCTGGCTATCAAAATATAGAACGTCTTGGGTGTTAAAGGTTTGAAGTTAAACCATCTTGCAGGGAAGCAACAAAGCCCACATGGAAGAAGCACACCAACCCATGTGATCACGAGGTGTCCATGGGATGAAGCATCAGAAGACCCCAAACAAACAACCATTTCGATGCAAATGAGGGAGGTCTGAGTGGAGACCCAAAGCCCATCTGCAGACAATTGGACATCCCCTCACAGAAGGGTCACAAGGTCACAAAGGACGAGCCAGCCAGGGTGCAGTATAGCAACGAAGAAACACACAACATTCCTCTAGTTCTTTAATGCTTCCTTTCTCCCCCCTGCCCCCCACTACCATGACCCCAGTTCTGTCTTATAAATCTCGCTAGACCAGAGCATGTACACTTGTACAGATAAGAACTCTTAATACACAGAATCCAGGACAAATAAACCCCTCAAGACCAATAATGAGAGTCATGATACCAGGAGGGTAGGAGGAAGGTGTGGAGGAGAAGGGGGAGGAAGGGGGAACTGATCACAATGACTGACGTACAACCTCCACCCCAGGGGGACGAATAATGGAAATGTGGGTGAAGGGAGACAGCAGACAGTGTAAAATATGAAAATAAAAATAATTTCTAAATTATCAAGTGTTCACGTGGGTGGGAGGGGAAAAAGAGGAGCTGATATCAAGGGCTCAAGTAGAAAGAAAATGTTTTGGAAATTATGATGACAACATATGTATAAATGTGCTTGGTACAATTGATGTATGGATTGTTATGAGAGCTATAAGAGCCCCCAATAAAATGACTTATTAAAAAAAAAGAAGAAGAATACAGACAAAAAAAACAAAAACAAAGTGGGCAAACTGAGACAGCAACAGGGAGTCTTCAGCAAGACAGAGGCAAAAAAAAAACCAGAGGCAAAATCTTATGCAACTTTATCAAGAAAGTGGTATCTCCTCACTTTTGCCACATTCTATTTGTTAGAAGCAAACACGGGTCCTACCAACCACTCAGAAGGACGGGATCACACCAGGGCATGAACAGAGGAGGAAGGGTCACTTGAGAGGCTGCCAGCAGGCGTTGGCGTAAGCATTGGACATATGTCATCTTAGCATTTTACAACCGAATGAGATAGACACCATTATTAGTCCCACTTATGGAGAGGTTTCGCAGCACTGGGAAGGAGGTGGAGTGGTGATTGAAATCTGCCTCGGTCTGACTCCAGAGCCTGCCCTCCTAACCTCACCTTCCCAAACTCCATGCAATGAATTTCAGGTGTCAGGTCCAGGAAAAAATTCTACAGCCAAGTGTTGAAAGCTTTGTCAGAACAACCGATGCTTCCCTGGATTAATTTTATTTTCCAGGCAAATGTGATCTTCCACTAACATAGAATGAACACAAAACGGGACTTGAAGCCCTCTCCCCTCCCTGCCCCTAGCAACATAAAGGAGCACTGGTGGTGAAGTGGGTTATATGTTCTGGTGTTAACCACAAGGTCAGCGGTTCAAACCCACCAGCTACTCCTCAGGAGAAAAATGAGGCTTTCTGCTTCTGTAAAGATTTAGAGCCTCAGAAATCCACAGAAGCAGTTACGCTCTTTCCTATAAAGTTGTTATGAATCAGAATGAAATCAATGGAAGTGAGATTTTTTTTGGTTTTTGCTTTGTTTTTTTCCTGGTAACATATATATTGAGCACACAGGAACTGCTATAATACTTGTATCTTGACAATTGGCTGGGAGGAAATCATGGGTAGCAGCATTGAGTACAGGGAAAACATAAAATAGGAATTCTGACCAAAAAACTATGTACTGTATTAGACAGGATGAATGTAATCCATATTACTAAAATGTACATGTGAAATTTGTCAAAATGGCAAATGTCATATATATTTGACCACAAAATAAAAAAAGTTTGTATTGGTTTCATATTTTCTGCAGACACTGTGTTAGTCTGGGTTAACAAGAGAAAAAAAATCCAGAGACACTCATATCAAAGAGTAATTGTATATTAAGAAAACATCCCCGCCCAGTCCAGATCAAGTCCATAAGTTTTATATTAGCCCATATGTCCCATTCCAGTCTATAAATCCTCTTCAAACTCACATAACACATGCAATGATGCTGAATGTAGGAAGATCACAGGCCTGTGGGTGGAAAGTCTTGTGGATCCAGTGGCAGTGGAAGCATCCCAACACTGGCGTGGGTCTCCACCCGTCTCCTCCAGCTCTCACAGTGTCTCAACAGCAGGAAAGGGAAGGCAGAGAGACTGGGTCTAGCTCCATATTTATCTCCATCACGCCTCCAAATAAGATTTAAAGCTGCGATCTGATTGATAGGATAGACTCCATCCCTTTGCTCAAGTTGACAGCAGATTATGTAACTCCCACAGACACAAAGTATTCATATTACTGAGGTTTGGAATGAAATAGTAGGGGTGTGAAAAGGCAAAGATATCCAGTAAGATACTAATATCTCAAAGCATATCATCAGTTTCTTCAGCTGTTAAAAGAGGTTTATGAGTCCCCACGTTAT